GCTTTGTTTTTGTTGTGGAGAGGGTCATTCAGTCTGATTTTGATGATCTGAAATTCGTTCACGTGGCGCACGATTTCTGGCCAGTAATGCACGCTACCATAATACTTTAGATTCGTGTTTTACTTTCATAGCTGTGCAGGATTACTTTGCGAGCTAAAAATATTTCATCTCTCTCGCAAATATTTTAGTTGTGGGGTTTTCGTTAAATTTCCATATTGTTATTCGGGTCTATTCCAGTTAGAGGGGGCATCATGATGCAGTTTTTCCAGAAAGCTATGGCAACTCCGAGCCAGGGGGAGTGTAGCTGTCTAGTCCAGGGGGTGTGGGGGGTGAGGGCAGTAACTTGACATGCGAAGGTGTGTTTAACTGTTCAACGTTCACACTAATGTTCAAGTTCACACTAGTTCGCCGAAAAGCTGCATCATGATGCCCCCTAACTGGAATAGACCCCGTTATTCATGTCCAAGTCCGCTCGTACATCGTCTCTTTTCTACAGGTTCGAAGATTATCGAAATTACAACGTTTTAAGTGCTCTTTTTGGTTATAAATAAACATTCAAACCTTCAAAATTTTTAATATTCTTCTTTTAAGCCCGCCAATTGAAGTCGGAGGCTGATAACTTCCGCAAAGTACTCGATACGCAACCGTTGTTCGAAAATTGGGTGGAGCAAGTCTTAGCGAAAGGAACGAATATGCCCGGGCGTGTGAGTGATTTCGAAATGGTTGTTGAAAGTTGATATAAATTCAACGGAATTTTTCAAGTTTTGTTCATCACTTCTTGATATTCACACTTTGTTCAGGTTTTCGTCATTGACAGACGATCTAAAGACGGAAAACCTCATCTGCATCTTAAAGTCAACTTTAGTCCGGAAAGCATTGTGTTACACAAGGAGGTATCCTCTAGTTTCTCTTTTTTGTGTGTTCCATCATGTTTTTTATTTATCACTGTGCGTCTTTCTACATCCGTTGTCATAATCATCATGGTCCTTTTAGGTTCGAAATCTGAAAAACATGGGTTTCCGTATCCC